CAGGCTTCCTTGGGCTTAGGGTTGAGGGTCTGGGTGTGCTTTACGGGTTCCTTTCGAGGATCTATCGGGTTTCAAGTTTTAGGGCTGAGTTTAGGCTTTAAGGGTTGCGGCTCTGGATTCCTTTGGTTTATAGCATTTCACTTTCCCAGAGAGCCCAAGTCCCCCCAGTGAAGGAATAGACTCTCAAAGTATGGGGGTTTAGGGTTTTGGTTTAGGGTTTAGGGTTTAGGGTTTAGGGTTTAGGGAATCGTACAATGATTCAAGACATATTTGTTTATTTGATGTCTGCTCAGATTTCTTTTTGTAACAATTCCACCGAAATGTCAGTAGGGACTTGGTGCTCGCGCTCGGCAACAAGATTCAGGCCTTCTTCGCGTTGCAAGGTCAGGGATGCGGATCTGTATCATCTCGCCTCCGTGGTGCTGCGATTCCTAAACCCTAAACCACCCGAAAACCTAACCCTAAACCCTAAACCCTAAACCCTAAACCCTAAACCCGAACCCTAAACCCTAAACCCTAAACCCTAAACCCAAACCCTAAACCCTAAACCCTAAACCCAAGCCCTGTCCGACCACATCAGCTGTTGCCAGCCAGAGCAATGTATAATTCAGTGGCCTAGCAGCACTCCTGCGGTGCATGACATAAATCCTGGAGTACCCATAGCAAGGAATATACTGTAATTACCATAGTGCCGGGCCCTTAAAGTCATGCAGGGTTCATATCATCAACCGTATGTAAGGTGTGAGCAGGCCCTTCGAGATTCGGTCGGGTCAAAAGCCACGGCTTTCGCAGACCTTTGTTCGCTCTAGGCCTCACACGTTTGCCCAACCACCAGCAACAAGTCTCGGGCAGCAGTTTTGGGAGCCCGTCAACCCAACTATAGGGCTCTTCGGGATAGGTTTTACAGGGTCTCAGGTTTCTGGGGCCACACTGACCTCTGGGTTTGAAGTGTCGGGCATTCGGGTGTTCCTTCACTGCGGCTGCTTCCATGAGATTACTCTTGTACATAGCAGTATAAGGAGTCAGCGCGCTGACGGTGCCATGTGGGAGCCAAAATAGCAGTATAATGACTATTACGCTTGTGCTTGGCCGTGTTGCTGTGGTTATTGCAAAGCTCTGGGTGTTTTAACAAATGGTATCGGGTTACATGTTCAATGCTCGCGCCGTTCAGGCTTACCGTTTCAGCCTTAGGCCCTCCCTACCTTTCAAGTGCATTGCATTTGCACAGCATTCTGTTCCCGAAAAGCGGTGCGTTGATAATGGCGATCTTGGGTCTAACACAAAGGGGCATTGGCATCTAATGTAACAGGTTTGCAGCGTCTCAACTTGATGGTCCAAGCTTTGGATTGACGACTTCGGGTTGGGATTAGACTGCAAATGGACCGGTCTTTGGCGTTCTTTCGGTTGGCTCTTAGGACTTTAACTTTTTGGCTTTCTATATGAACCATAATATCCAGGCTAGAAGTTTAACTTTTAGGAGGGGTTCAGAAGTAAGCCAAGGGTCTCTCCACCTAAACCCTAAACTGTGGATCCTTTCGGAAGACTGCCCCCTTTGCGAGTTCGGCGTGGGCATCCTCTTCTGACCTAGCCTTTTCGGTCTTTGAACGAAGAGGTTGCTTCACCCCGGGACTTGCGCACGTAACGACTCTCTCGAAGCTTTGTTCCCTGCAGTGCGACTTTTCAGCGAAGTGGGTGGGAAAAAAGCCCTAAACCGTAAACCCTCCGCCACCAGATACCAATAGACCTCTCAAGCAGAGTGGCTCGGAAACACCGAGACGTCGCCTGGCTGGTCCGAGTGGTGAGAGAGAGCGTAAACCTAAACCCTACACCCCTATATTTAGGGTTTGGGGTTTAGGGTTTAGGTTTCAGCAAGACTTCAAGCCCCACACACACATAAGCTTCTGAACCAAGGATTCTGGGTGGATCCAAGAGCCGGGCCAACCCTTAGCCTAGCTCCTGACTCTGAGGCCATAGGATCATCAACCCAACACCCCTACTTGGAGGTTCATGGGTAGGTATAAGTAGGGTTTTAAGCAAGGTAACTATACTTCTAAGCCTACTTAGGGGACGTATAACCCCACTTATAACTGTCCATGAACCTCCAAGTATGCAACCTACACTCAACCCTAAACCCCAAGCCCTTCAACCTCAACCTGAATTTTAAGCCCCCAAGGCGCGAACACTGAAGCCCAAAGCCGTCAGGCTGCTACCAGCTTCAGACATCGAGGCTACATTGGTACTAGCAGGCCGCCTCGGCAAACCCCAAACCCTAAAACCCTAAACCCCCTCAAACCCTAATCCCCTAAACCCTGAGCCCTAAAGCCCTAAAGCCCTAAATCCTAAACCCCTAAAGGTTCAGGGTCTGGGGTTGAGAAGGACGCGGGATCGAAAGCCACGGAGATTTGTTCATCCGAGGGATCCTTATTAGAAACCTTCGGAAGTTGGGAGATCCCCGGGCCTATAGGGGTTTAGGGTTTAGGGTTTAGGGATTGAAAAGCAGGAAGCTGCAGGCAACGGTAGGGCAGGCTGAAGTACAAGCTAGAGCAGCTAGGTTTTAGGGCTTAGGTTTTTGGGTTTGAGTGGGTTTAGCGCTTAGGGAAAAAAGTCCATGAATCAAAAGGGACTTTGACCAGGGTTTTAAGTTTATCCAGACCTCTCGCATGAAACCCACAAACCTTTTGAAAGGCTATAATATAGGTAGGGGCCTTCATGATTAGAATAGGTTTTGGGGCCCATTATACGTAATTATATGAAGGAACCCCCCTACATTACACCGAGAATCTGGGGAACGAGAGCCTGGGTGCAATGCATCGGGTCTCAGTGGCGTCAGACATCAGGGCGGACCTCTCGGCGTTTTGATGCGTGTCGCTTTTGGGGTGTTTTTCCACCGCAAGGTACCGCTGCCAGATGATGCCTCCAGGGCGTCCCACCGACCGAACAGCCACTTCGTCAAGCTCAACGTCTGCACCAAGACGCTGAGACCACCAATGACCAGACTGTCGTTCAACTGCTCGATCAACCAGCAAGGTACTTCGCAACCTGAAGAGGACTTCCCGCCAAGGATGTCCGCCAGTGACGTCTTGTTCTTGAGTGTAGTGCGTCCAAACGCTCCTCTAGACCTGAACAGACATGTCTAAACAAGAACTAGTATTCCCTTGTCGTCGCTATGTAGCCATACTGTATTCTGGCAGAGCCCTACTCTTGTTCTCAAACGCCCTATATCGCCTGCCTGCACATGCAAGTGGGCAACTGGGTTGCAATGTTGGTGTATTTATGAAAAGGTAGCTCCATGGGACCATACGGGTAATTTTAAACTTTCTCACAAAGTGGCACCTAGCAATGCCTCGGGGTCACTGGAAGGAGCTACGAGGACTTACGCTCCCTCAGTCAGAAGCTGCTGGTTAGTTCTCTAAGTTAGGATCCCTTTCAGGGTCCTTTTTTTAAGGGTGCCGTAGTTTTGGGGGTTTCAGAAAATAGGGGACCCTAATATAGTACCCTAAATAGTAGGATCCTTATTATAAGGACCCCAAAATAAGGTATCCCGTATTTTCAGAAACTCCCTTTTGGGCGGACCTACAAAAGGTGCCTCTCTTGCTTGCTAGAGCAGAAACCGGCAAACCCCAGGACCTGCAATACAGCACCCTTTAATTGCCCGTTTCAACCCATGAATCAACCGGAGAAACCCTAAACCGTGAATTAATATAGAAGCCTAAATAATTACCGACAACATTCCTGAGGTTCCTTATTATAATTGTACTATAAAGGAGCCCAAAACCCTATTCTAATTGCTGTGGCCCTTACATTAAGCCACATAGACCTCAAGCCATCTGAAGGCTCCCCCAAGAACCCTTAACCCTAAGCCCTCACTCTACAGCTCAAGGAAGAGTAGTACGGTTATTTAGGGTTTTGGGTTTAGGGTTTAGGGAAGAGTAGTTTTGAATTTCAGGGCTATGGAACAGCCCGGCCCACAGAAGCCTCGGAAGATCCCTAAACTCCCAACAAGCTAACCTGATCAGTTTAGGGTTTAGGGTTAGGGTTACATCTAAGCCCTGAGCCTTTGGGTTTAGGGTTTAGGGTTACATCTAAAGCCCTGAGCCTCGGCCCCCCTTTTTTGCCAAAGGGCGGGACTGCGCAGAAGAAGTGAAAGCTCTTCTTGACAGACCGCAGGACGCCGCGGTGGGTACTTGGGTTTGGGATGTAGACCACCGAGAGCTCCAAATAAAAGGGACTCAACCCAGCGAGCCCGCCACTGTTTTAAAAGATCCTGAACTATAGAGGGGCACTTAACGCAATTCAAAGTTTACTGCCTAGTTTAAAATACCTGGCATCGGGCAGTCTTTGTGCAAGCTTCGTTTGGAAGTTCTTAGGTGCTTAATGTACGGTGCCGCAGAGGTTTGTCAGGGCGTATATAAGGCTTCCGCAAAATTTAGAGAAAAAGCGCTCTGCACAGACATCTTGGAGTGGTCAGTCACCTGTTGCACTTCAGCAGGAAAGCCTTCCACACGTGTAAACTCGTTCGCGCGATGTCCAGCCAAATGGCGGCTCCCCAGAAATATTCGCGACGGAAGCGCTGTGTTGTTTACAGCTTGATCTGGAGCCCCTACTTGCTTGTTAGATCTTCATAGGGCAAGTTTCGAACTCAGTTAAACCCGGAATCTCAAACCCTGACCCCTAAGCCGTCAAGCGCATGGTAAACAGAAACTGTATGTTCTACCAACCGCTTGGCCCAGCCCGGCAAGCCGTAGCCCAAGTCCGCCCGCTCAGCCCCAGCCAGCTGTATGTCTAATGCAGAGGCCTAAATAATTACCTATACTTTTTTGGGGGCTCCTGATTACAATTGTAGTGGCTATAGTATAATGGGCCCCAAACCGTATTCTAACTATTAAGGCCCCTACATTGCCCAGCCCGGCCACAGTCCGGCCGCGCCCAGCCCAGTGAACCCTACACAATGTCTAGTCGAAGGACAAAGCGCAGGAATTCGCTGAGCAAGGCCAGTTCGAATGGTAAAGCAAAAAGCGAAATCCGGTCAGGATCGCCCTAAACCCTAAGCCCTAAACCGCACAAAGCTCCGGACCTGGACACCATAAAGTTTCTATGAACCCTGAAGCCTAATCCGAACCGAGCTATGAAGAGCAGGACCCGAATGCAGCGGACGATGCTGGCGACACGGCACTTCACGCCTCGGCACTGTTCGGTGCTGAGAGGCCCTCCGACACACTACTGATGGACAGCAACCTGTATTACCATCGTAATAAGAAAGAAGAATAAGAAAAACATAGTCGTAGCAATAATACTGTTACAAGTGATAATAAGGTTTAACTCCGGATGGCAGTTTGGGGGTGTTTGACTTCCCCTGATGGTTCAACATCGGTACCTTTTCATAAAATACTTCTGGGGCCGCAAAACTACAACCCAGACTAATTTTGAAGGCTCTACAGTGTGGGTATTAGGGTAAATACAGCCCATCGATTGCATGATACGCTTCAGGTAGCAGATTCAGGATACAGGATAGCTACACACTACACACTTTGGGAAGCTTTGGTTTTTCCCTTATGGTCCTATAGAGGTACCCTTTCATAGATACTTTGGGGGGTCTCCAAAACTACAACCCAGAAAAGGTTGGTAAAAGGAATGGACCCCTGGGACTAGCCCCTTTGGCTAAGTACCCTAAACCCTAAACCTACCCTAAACCCTAAACCGAAGCCAATGCGCTTCAATGAGCCGGCCGATGAGTCGAGCGTCAGGGTTTCTTACAAAATGGGGTGCCTGATTTGGGGGGAGGTCCTGACCCTAAACCCCTAGACCCCTAGACCCTAAACCCTTAAACCTTAAAAGGGAGAGCCCTAAACCCTAAACCCTTAAACCCTAAAAGGGAGAGCCCTAAACCCCAAACCCTAAACCCTTAAACCCTAAAAGGGAGAGCCCTAAATCCTAAACCCGACATCCTATTCTTCAGGGCGTTTGAAGGGCCTCTGACATGATATTGAAACTCCCAGTGCCGCCTTTAAGTGGGCTCTGGCGGTTGGCAGACCCTAAACTCTGAATCAGAAAATCTTTACGCCCCCTTAGAGAAGCCTTAGAAGCCTTATAAAGAACCCTTACAGATTTTTTGCACAACGCTTATAATTGAGGCTTGTTATAGAACCCGGCTAGGATCACCTCGGACTTTCATTTAGCATGCTTCTTTGTGCAGGATGAGGGATTTAGGGATTGAGGGATTTAGGGTTTAGTGTTTAGGGTTTTGTAAGGTTTGTTGTTGTGTGTGTTTGCTGTGTTTAGGAAGGATGCTGTGAAACTCATCCTCGACCTTAAAACCGTGAACCGCTGACCCAAATCCCTCAGCATAGAACCCCCCGGCACCCTCAAACTCTAAATCCTAAAGGGTTTAGGGTTTAGGGCTTAGGGCTTAGGGTTTAGGGTTTAGGGCTTAGGGTTCAGGGTTTAGGGTTTAGGGTTTGGGGCTTAGGGTTTAGGGTTTAGGGGAACCCTAAATCCTAAAAGGTTTAGGGTTTAGGGCTAAGCCTTGGAAAAATGAAGACTAGAGGCCCCAATGCAGACCTCGCAGCCTACCTGACGACAAAACCGCCCTCATACGCTTAAGTGCTGCCCATGTAATCAAAAGGCAGAACCTCTAAACCCTAAACCCTAAACCCTAACCCTAAACCCTAAAGCCCTCAAGCCGTCCTTGGGCAGGTGCTTGAAACTGTTGCTCGAAGCGGGAGCAGACGAGGACCGTGACAGGGCGGTGGGGCTTCAGGTTTAGTGTTTTAGGGTGGAGCGCTTTGGGCCTTTTGGATTCGGGGATTGGGGCTTCTAGAGCTAAGCCTAAACCCCTAAACCCTAAACCTAAACCCCTAAACCCTAATCCCTAAACCCTAAACCCTAAACCCTAAAGCCCTTCAACCTAAACCCTAAACCCTAAAGCCCTTCGCCCTAAACCCTAAACCCTAAAGCCCTTCGCCCTAAACCCTAAACCCTAAAGCCCTTCGCCCTAAACCCTAAACCCTAAAGCCCTTCAACCCTTCTTGCGGTTTGTGGGGCCTCACGGTGTTTCAGCGTGGCGGCTTGCTTCTCGGATGCATTCCCGAAGCACGTGGTGGTTTAGGGTTTAGGGTTTAGGGTTTAGGGGTTCCTACCCGAGCGTCATAGATAGAAGCCGCAATAAGTATACGACTATTCCGTGGAGTTCTTTATCATCTGCAACAGTGTATACTGCATCATCCCCTCAGACCGTGCTGTCATTATATGGGTTTAGGGATTAGGGTTATAAAAGGCCCGGACTTTTCCAAGAGCCGACGAGATCCCCCAGGATCGGGCGAACTCTCACGGCGAAACGCCGGTTCTAGTCGCAGCTCAAAGTGGCTGGCTAGGCACCACGCGTCTGCTGCTGGAGGCAGGGATGGATGATCCTAAACCTAAAGTTAACGCCCTAAACCCGAAAGCCCCAAAGCCCTAAACTCCAAACCTAGCCCTAAACTCCAAACCTAAAGCCCTAAACCCTAAAGTTACTAACCCCAAACCTGAAAGCCCAAAACCCTAAAGCCCTAAACCCTAAAGGCCCTAAACCCTACTAAAGCTCTAAACCCAAAACCCGAAAGCTCTCAAGCTTGAGGCCTCGGCTGAATCCTAGAAGCTGTGGACTTCAGTTCAGGGGTATATAGATATACATGGGATGCTTAGAGAGTCCAGATTTTAGGGTTTAGGGTCGAGGCTTCGGGTAGCGTTTCTCCCTGCGCATGTGTAAGTCTAGTTTCGTTATTCTAGATCGTGTTCTGCGGCCCAGAATCTAGAACCCTTGTTGCGATTGGCTTTGTGCTAGCATCAGACACTATATGCCAGCATGGCATCGGCTGCTCAAAGCGTACGCTAGAGGCCCACCCTAAACCCTAAACCCTAAACCCCACCCCATTCCCACATGCCTGTGCATTAGCACGGACCTCTGCGCTGTGAAGCGTCTGCGGCACTGAAGACAGCAAACCTTGGCCCTAAACGCTAGGGTTTAGGGTTTAGGGTAAGCCCTAAAACCTTAGACCCTAAACCCTGAACTGTTTAGTTTAGGAGCTTCAGTCCCATTCCCATTGAAGCCAAAGCTCTGGCCTCATTGCTGAAACCCTGCAACCCTAAACTTTCATTGGCAGTAAGGGGTTTAGGGTTTAGGGGGTTTGGGGTTTTGGGGTTTAGGGTTCAGGATTCTGGGGTTTAGGGGCTTTGGGTCTTGGGTTTAGGGAAGCCCGGTACGCTACAACCGTGGAACCCATCTCACGCAGGCAAGCTGCACGGTCGATGCAAGGCGAAGCGATGGGGCAACAACACCCCTGTTGCTTGCGGCACAGCAGGGGCACACAGAGGCGCGCAGCCAACACAAAATAGCTTCCAGACTTCCCGGGGCCAGTGATGTAGGAACCTGATTAAGAAACCTTGGGTCCTTATTAGGGCTCTTTATAGAAATCCTAATACTATGGGGTTATAGGGCACCCTAAACCCTAAAACCCAAAAAAAATATAATGTAGGGCCAGGGCTTTTAAACCAGGTTCTTACAGGCGCCGAGGTGCTTCTCGCTGCCTGATCTGCACGGAGCCTGATGTTAACATAGGGGCCTTAATAATTAGAAGAGGGTTCCTTTAAGGCTTACTAAACGCTATAATTAACGGTTTAGAGTAGGGGCCTTAATAATTAGAATAGGGTTTGGGGGGTTTGGGGGTATATTATACTATAGATATAATACGGAACCCCCAAGACCCTATTCTAATTATTAAGGCCCCTATGTTAGGTGGGCGCTGATGCAGATCCTACCAGGATTGTGGGTAAAGTCTTAGCGCTTCGGTTTGAGGTCTCAAGGTTTCGGGCTTTGAGGTTTTCGGGTTTGTAGATTAGGATTACTGTTGGGTTTAGGGTTTCGAGTTTGGGGTTTAGGGTGTTGGTGTCCGAAGGCCGGAATGGAGGGCATAGCCAGACGCGCATGACTTGAGAGCTCAAAGAATATCGGGACAGAAGCAAGCAATTGCCCAAAAAAACGCGACAGAATCATTCCAAGACACGGAAATGGATTGGCTCATACCAACGATCTTCAATCCACCCGACCCTAAAATGTTCTTTCAGGTCGGGGACCCCGTCCTTGTGGCTTCCTTAACTTAGGGTTTAGGGTTTACTTGGAGGAGGTATAAGTGGGGTTATATGTCCCCTCAGTAGGGTTATAAGTACAGTTACCCTACTTATAAACCTACTTATAACTACCCATGAAACTCCAAGTAGGGTTTAACTTATATTGAGGTCCGTCATTTCCTGAAACTCCCCAGTCAGAGCGCCCGTAAACCTCTGGCTTGGGCCTTTAGGGTTGGGTGCACAAGCCCAACCCTTTATAATGGGCTTCGCGTTTAGGGCTTAGGGATTTAAGCTACATTCCTTGCTTAAGGGGCATTAGGCGCCATATTGTGTAGTATATCATTGTTGCACTATAGTGTATCACAATATGTTGTAGCAGCTCGTAGTACATTATAGCATATCATAGTACAATACAGTATAGTGTATTATGTTATAGTACCTCATAACATATTATAGTCTATAGTTGTTCTCCCTAGACCCTAGACCCCTAAACCCTCAGCCTTTATAGTATGTTACGCAGGTCGTTGATGCCTTGCTCCAAAGCAGAGCAGAGACCGGCAGCGCGAATCGCCGAGGGGAAACGGCCACTTGCTTCCCTTCATCCTTAGGTTAGGGGTTCCTTCGTATGACATGCGAGCCGTGCTCATATTGGGGGTATTTCTAAGTTAAGTCATGCGGCTCTTTGCTGGACCCTAGAAGAACAGACCCTGCTTGATGTCAGGCCCTCCTCCTCGCTGCACAGCGTGGGCACAAGGATGCTGTTAGAGCCTTGCTCGGTGCGGGTGCCGACGACTTGCCGCGGCAGGCTACGCCTGGGTCAAGCTGCAAGAAACCCAGGTTATTTCTTTCCACCAGAGGAGTTATTCGGATCCCACTCTCTAGGGCCTATATATGGGTGCAGTGGTTATCCAAACCAGGATTCCTTTTAGGGTCCTTTTTTATATGGGTGCCATACTTTATTGGGGACCCAAAAGGGACCCTAATATATATATATATAGAGAGAGAGAGAGAACTACCCATAGTACCCTTATAGAAACCCTATAGATACCTTTTTTGAAGATCCCCCGAATTTAGAGAACTACCCATATTCTCCAATTGTTAACGCCTGAAAGGGATGGGTTAACTCGGGCGTGGTACTTGATCGTTTCAAGAAGCCTTAGATCTCCCACTCTGAGAATTTGCAACAAGTCCGCCTCCACTTGGGATTAGGGGTTAGGGTTTATAGAAATTGTATAGGGTTTGGGTCCAGGGTTTTGAGCGAAAGTTTGGAGCGGGTTTTTCTTTTTGCTTTTCAATTTAGATTTTGGGATTGGGCTGGGCTGGGGCGGGGGGCGGACTTCGGTTTGGGTTGGGAGGCCCTCCCCATCTGGTTGAGGATAGGGTTCCGACACAGGTGGTTGAGGAGTGAGGAGGGAGGGCGGCGGGGCGCGGCAGGTGGCTTTGGCGTTTTTTTGGGGGATGGAAGGGCCGGGGAGGGGAGGGGCGGGAAGGCCCTCGCCAGGTTGAGGATGAGGGCGCGGGGTGGGGCGTTGGGCTGGGCTGGTTTGGGCTGCGAGTTGACGCGACTTGGACATGGACCCGTGTTTTTTCGCATACGCTGGATGAAAATTCGACACTAATTCACTAATGAAAATGCAACTCGAAGCGAAATTTTGCACAAGTTTATGCATCTTGTTCTTGAGGGTTTAGGGCTCAGGGTTTAGGGTTTAGGGAGCTCACGGGTTCAGTCGAGCACGGCATGTCTGGCAGCGATCGCCTGAGTCCAAAGCTCTAAGGGTGCAATGAAAGACCAAGTTCATACCCTAAGTTAAGCCTATCTAGTGCCTCATACCCCCGATGGGGACCCTCATGTGCACCCTTGTGGAAACTCAATAAAAAAGCATTTCAGTTAACCCTCATGTATAGAAACCCTAACCCATCGTACCCGGGCTAGGATGGAGCCACCGCTCTTTCCCTGGCTACCCAGCGCGATCACCTCCATGTAGCGCTCCTCCTTCTTGAAGCCAGCGCGGACAAGGACTGAGGGTTTAGGGTTTCGGCGGAACAAGAGTATGACGAAGGGTGATAAGAACCTCGTGTCATTGTAATACCAGTAATGACACCTATCGGTGTCAACGGTCAGAACCACTGGACTCGACATGCGGGACATTCTTCCAATTTGCGTCAGCATTAGTGCTTCGGCTTTTTCGGATCTAGTGGGTTCTGCGCTTGGGTTAGGTTTCGCCACTCTGCCATTCACAGGGTTCTTAACACTTTAAAGAGGTCTACAGTAATCGGCAAATATTGGAAAAGATTGCTCCGGAAAGTTGTAGATGGATCCTTGAGAGTGATTTGAGCTACGCTGGTGAATTCATGCGTACTTGTCTCTCTGTGCAGTGAGTAAGCACCCTACGTTACAGTAGAGATCCGGAAGCGCATGGACGGCTTTTGACGCCCAACCACGATTTCTGGCAGCAGTTCCAGTTAACAGGTGCACATCCGAATATTCAGCAACGGCTGTCTGTATGTATATAAGTATATTAGAGATATACGTATGTATCTCCAACCGTAAACCCGAAACCCTCAGAGGGGCTGTACTCAGTAACTTAGTATAACGCCGACCTGCACCAGTCGGACGTCGCCTGGTTTGTCCGAGATGTGAGACCTTAAACCCTCATATGCCGAGCACTGCAACCGGATCCAAACCGAGCACGCGCAATCCGATCCTAAACGCCGAAGCACTGAGAGTGAAAGCCCAAACTAAGCCCCTTATCACATGATTCAATGAGGGGTTACGAGAAGGGTTGTTAAAACCCCTAAAAACCTTGTTAAAAGCTGTATAGCTTCCCTCCAACAGGACAAGGCACTGAAAGACTTCGCGGCTGCCAGTCGGAATGACTGGTTGGCCATCCCTGCGATCCGCTTTGGTCGCTGGCACTTCAGTGTCTTCGAGATTCTTGCGCTGAAGCAAAGTGTGCTTTGAGTCGTCTTCCCGAAACCCGAAAGCCTAAACCCACCCAGGTATCCTAAACCCTAAACACTAAACCCCTAAACTCCTAAACCCTAAACCGTAAACCCTGGTGGGTTTGGGGTTGACCTGGAGTTCGGGGGCATTGTAGTTTGGTGGCAGGCCATGGTGTGCGCTGTAGAGCAGCACATGTGCAGAGGATATCCTGCATGCAGTTTCCTCCTTTGGGGCTTAGGGTTTTGGGTTCAGCCTATAGGGTTTCGGTTTAGGGGCTTTGGGATTTAGGGGTTTAGGGGTTGCGGGGCTTAGGGGTTCAGGGTTTGTGGTTGATATTTCGGTTTCTGGTTCAAGGTTGAACCTTGAACCGACACAACATCTTCGAAGCAGCTCAGGATCATTGCAAAGCTCTGCCTGGGTGTCTGCCGGAGCATGGTGCCACGTTGAGGGGTGCAGTCAGAGAGGTCTAGGTTGGAAAAAAGAGCCTTCCTCGCCTCGGTTTGGGGAGGTAAAATATAGGAGCCGAAATACCTACCAATACTATGTTGCGGGTTGTTTTTCGTATTTATAGTATAGCTATGCCCAAACACCCTTTTCCAATGATTAAGGGCCCTATATCAAGGAGATATAAAACTACATGAGTGCATGGATGGATGGATACATGGACGGATCGATGGGCACATAGACCGGTCGTACTACTACTGTACTGCTTTACTGGCCCTCCGGCTGGGTCGATTTTCTGGGGCAGTGTCTTAACACGGCACCACTGTGCCGGGTCGGCCCCGCCCAAAGTGGCCAGTGTTTTCACAGCTACCGAATGGAACATATTGTATGAACAATTGGTGAAAACATCCCCTCGTAGTCCTTACATTAATCTGTCACAGTAGACCCAAAAACCCTTTTCTAATTTGTCAGACCCTTATATCAAAGCCTCCTGAGGAACCCTTACGAAAGCACTTATTGAAATTCTATTCGAACAGTTGAGGCCCTGAGATTCCCAAAGAACTTCCGCTTTCGGCTCAAAGCTTAGCTTCAGAAGCGATTCTTGGAATGCTTGCCAGGGCTAGACGCAGAGTAACGGTAGGGTGTAGGGTGCTGTAGAGGCCGACAAGAATTTGCTCAGGGACCCTTCTTCTGAGTATAGTCTGGTGTATTACCCTAAACCCTAAACCCTAACGGTGCATCCCCAGACCTTCTTGTGAGTATTGAGGCCCCCATAGTAGACGCATGGCTGCCTGCACATGGGCCGGGTGCTAAGCGGATTGTCCTTTACTCCGAGTTTTCCATGCGATTCAGCGCATTCGCCACAGCTAAGACAATCGGGGCGTGGAGGTGTTGAGAATGTTTTCCGCTTATAGTCCCTACATACTTACACGAAAGCATGATATCTTCTTGTCTACCCCAGCACCCTGAACCTTGAACTGACCTCGCTCTCTTCGAATTTCTCCGTGGATTAGATACAAAGGTGTCCGAGACGTCGCCGCGCCATTTATGACTGCGAGCTCTCTCCGGACAAAAGCCGACGGAGAAGGAGACGGGAGTTTCTAAACGGCTAGGGATCGTTCTTGATGCAGGGCGATGGGTTAAGGGCTTTATTTGGGGTATCTTACCTACTACTTGGGGTGTAGGCGTGCATATCCAGATATGTATGTGTATACATATATATATATATATACATGTAGATAGGGGGCTGCTCTGAGGGGTCTCACTCGTCATGGGCCTTCTGAGTTACGTCTCGTGCCTCGCAGGAAGAAGCACGCTCATGCGGATTCAGGCCGCCCTCTGCCGGGACCTGTTACTTCAGAGGCTGGGCCTCGACCCGGCGATTTGAGGAGCCCAGAGGCCTCGGCCGAGGCAACCCGGCTCTCACTCTGGTAGAAAGGGCCCCAACACCCTATTCTAATTATTAAGGCCCCTATAGTAGGGTTTTTAGGCTTTAGGGTTCAGGGTTTAGGGTTGAAGACCACCTGGTAGCTGGCACACCGCTTTCCTGCAATCTCCCGGCGTCGCCTTCCCGGCGGTGGGACCTGCCGGGTCTCCGCAGCTGCGCCCGCCTCACGCGTCCTCCAGCTGGCCACAGGCACGGCTCAATGGCTGCTTTTTGCTGCGCCAGGCACTCAAAGACTAGGGTTTTAAGGCCTTTAAGATATCCGTTGACTTATCTTTGGTGCTCCTGATGGCCATGTTGGGGAGGGGCTGTGGAAGCAGGGCAAGAGCTTCCAGCGCTGCCTCGGTTATGTCGAGTGCAGCCCAGCCGAGTTTCCGAATGTCTGTATGCAGACAGGTTTAGGGTTTAGGGTTTAGGGGAATATCTGTATGCAGACAGGTGTGGAAAAATCCCGTGTGGCTGTCCAGCTCTCCCAAGGTGAGGGCTATGAAGGGCCTTTCAGACGGGCTCTCATATCCGTCACGGAGAGCCGGTGGGTTGGTCAAGTAAGCCGAAGTGTTTCGCTCAGAAATGCTTGAGCCGTGCAAAAAGGAAGGAAACTTTGCAACATCACCGGGCGAATGGTTTAGGCGGCTTGGGGCTCCGGACGAGTTGTGGCAGTCTGAATAACAGCCCAACTTGCACACAGATGGCAAGGTACAGGCGAAGCAGACGGCCTTTTTTGGCCGAAGATGTCTTGGCATTCGGTCATGAGTACATCGGCGGGGAGCGAGGTTTAAGTCCTGCTTTCCTGTAGCTCCTTTGCGGTGCTGGCCACTTGCTGCATGCAGTCCTAGGGACGCTGGCGTCTGTTGATCTTGTAGGACTGACCACAAGGCCGTTGCCGTTTGCATCTCCGTACTCGGCCCCTCCAAAGGCCCCGTCCGCGCTCAGATGCTGAGGATAACCTCCTCCCGTGCTTCTCATGTGCAGTTCAAAGTTATCGATATGGGGTTCTTAAAGCGCCTCACGACACAGCCTAGGGGGTTTGGGGCAGTTGCCTATGCCGCCTCCTTCCACAACAGCCTCCAAAGTAGAAAGGTTCCCATCCTCCACTGATCGCCTAGCTACCAAAACAGGAGGGGCCAGAGACATACGTACAATAACGGCTGCTATACGGGTTTAGGGATAGGGAGCATACTGCCCTTTTCCCCCTGCGGTTTCTTTACGGAAGCGAGGCCAAGACGCATTTCCAGCGAGTGGCTTGCTCGGGCTAGGCTGAGCAGGAACCTTCACTGTCATATTGATATATGGGGACCAGAAGGGAAGATTATTCCCTAAACCCTTAAGGGAAGAGTATTCCCTAGACCCCAAGCCCTGTAACGATCATCGCTTCGCACTGACTTTGATGCGGCCCGAGGAGGTTGAAGAGGCGAAAACGAGATCCCCAGAAAAACCCAGGCGCTGGAGCACCGAAGTCTTTCAAGCTAGGCATTTTATCGATAAGGGCCTCCTTGAAGGACCCCTTTTTTTAAGAAATGCCTACAAGGATCCCTATATGAGGGTTCCTTTAAGGGTTCCGTCGGCCGTAGAGCACCGTCACCCGAACCCGAAACAAGTCACCCAGGCCAACATCCGAAATCCCGGGAGGGGTGCCGCCTCTGGTTTCCTGTTCTGCCCCCACCACCCCAAAACAGGACCTGCCTGCTTCTGTTGAGAG